CTCTAATAACTGTAATATTGAGCTTCTTTGGCTTCTTGTTTCCAGAACGAGTCCAATAATTGATCGCATCCAAGAATTTAGCCAAATGAGAGCTCCATCCCTTAATAACATCTCTTAAATCAGCCAATGATATGTAATTTATCATGCTGTCATACACTATTGTCTTAAGGGATGGGAGCTGAAGCTCGACGAGAATCCAATGTTTACGTTCCAAAACAGGGATAAACACCTGCAATCATAAGTAATAATTCATTCATTTGCGCACTTATTTCATAAAACCTTTAAACTCAATCTAAAATAAATACTAACCTTATCGACCTCCCACCATGCAGGATAAAGTTTAGCTTGTCCATTGCCCAAATCAAATGATTCATCTCGTGCATTCTTCAAGTGAACGGCGTTAAAAGACGTCGACATAATTGTATATCGTATATTTTTATTTTTCTTAAGTTTTCTTATTATTAGAAGACGTGTCACCCACGCATCGATATGCTGTTTTACAAAAAAAGACATATATTAGTGACTTACATAAATTTTAAAAAAAAATTAATCAAATTGAAATATAAGAAAAATATAAGACTTACCCCCCCATCGAAATAGCCATTGTCTTCGACCCCTAATAATACGCCCCACCAAGACCGATCAAGCAACAAATAGATATCATCGGTGAGCTTGCATATGTCAGTGAAACACCCCTGGCTCCGCTCATGTAGATAAAAATCAACTGCGGTCTTAGCCCAAAGGGTGTTATCCAGAATTGTGTCCGGTAGTTGTTTCCTCTCCTCTTCAGATACCGGTATGGTACTGGCCGGTAACTCATACGAGAGCCAACTTGAATCCATCATGTCCGGCACGTCAGAGGGTTTCTCAAGAAGCCTACATATGACGCCATGTGAATCGGGCTCTTGAATGGTGGGAGGGACCTCTTCAATGATGACAGTGGCCTCTTGAACGGTGGGAGGGGACTCTCGAAGAATGATAGGGGGGGCCTCTTCAACGATAGGAGTGGACTCTTGAGGGATGACAGGCGAGTCGGGCTTCTTCTTGCGGTGTCTTCGCACTATTGGGGTGTACGGAGACTTAATAGCACGTGCACGCTGTCTGATGCGTTAACTCCGTCGTGCAAGCATAACCCGACGTAAAGCATCCACTCTATCGGGCCGCTAAATAATTAAATACAAAAATCAGTAAATAAACAGACATGATATTTAAACAGTGAAAATAAAGACAAATATGTTTCAAACTTGCATTGTATTCACCCAAGTCATTATTCTATCATAGTTCACAAAATGCATCAGATAACAAAGAAAATATGTTTCAAACTAATACCCTGAAGTTAGTATTTGTCTTTGTTTTGTCTATTGGTTGAAGTAATGCAATCCATTCAAGTTTCAATTTGCAGAAGAAGAAATAGTTTACTTTCGCAACACGAAACTTAAAATCGCAACGCGAAATGAGAATCGCAACGAGAAACCAAAATCGCAACGCGAAACCAAAATCGCAACACGAAATGAAAATCGCAACGACAGAATCGCAATGCGAAATGAAAATCGCAACGCGAAATGAAAATCGCAATGCGATTTTGGTTTCGCGTTGCGATTTTGTCGTTGCGATTTTGGTTTCGCGTTGCGATTCTGTCGTTGCGATTTTCATTTCGCGTTGCGATTCTCTCGTTGCGATTTTAAGTTTCGTGTTGCGAAAGTAAACTATTTCTTCTTCTGTAAATTGAAACTTGAATGGATTGCATTACTTCAACCAATAGACAAAACAAAGACAAATACTGACTTCAGGGTATTAGTTTAGCAGAATTGGCAGCAACCGAACAAATTTACTTTCAACCAAAAGACAAAACAAAGACAAATACTATTTCACAGTGTTAAAGAATACATAGTTTAGCAGAATTGGCAGCAACCGAACAAATTTACTTTCAACCAAAAGACAAAGCAAAGACAAATACTATTTCACAGTGTTAAAGAATACACAGTTTAGCAGAATTGGCAGCAACCGAATAAATTTACTAAGCAATCTAAGTGAAATGGCTAATCTAAGTGAAATTACGAGTAAATTTATCATTAAGTTAAATATGGAAAATCTTAAACTTACCTCGTTGCGTAGAGTATGAACTTCATTCTGCAACGATACTATCATCTCACGTAGAGCGGCAACCTCACCACGTAAAGTTGACACCTCCACACGCCATGCACCATCGTTATCGCGTAGAGTACCGATCTCCTCACGCAAGGCATTGACCTCATCACGTAACTCATCCCGTGGAGGTGGAGAACAAGGAGATAAATGTCGTGGCCTCTTTACCGGTCGCCTATCATGAGGTGATGGTGGAGAAGAGGCTCGATGATGTGACGGGATAGGTGATGGCTCTCGTTCTAGAGGTGTATAGTCGGGTCGATCGGGTGATGGCTCTGGGTGAGGTGATGGCTCTCGAATTGGAGGAAGTGGATGCTGCTCATCATCCGTGCCATCAAAAAAACTCTGACTAGCTTGCCACCAATCAGTGGCAAGCTCTTCCTCCGTGGGTGTCAGTCTTTGTAATGGAATGTTGGCCTCCTAACAATATAAAAACTCAAACAAAGTTAAACGTCATGCATCAGATAACTTGTTTATATATTATATGAAAGTATTTGTGTTAACTTACATTATTTATTGTCGCATATGGTATTAAGTCTTCCCAATCCAACAGATTTTTCCTCTTCCAGGAAATAGCCCTGGGAATATCATTTGACGTTTTTATTGCATATGTACGCATGCTGGGGAAAGCCTCGAATATCCAAATCTACAAACAATATAATAACAAAATTAGTAATTGTTAAATAATTAATTATAATTTTAGAAATATTATATAGAAATTCTTACCTTAAAGGCCCAAACAAAGCCTGACAAAGTGTATTTCGACCCATCGCCACGCAAACTTTTGCGGTCATCAAAGGCAGTAGACAACTTAGTCCAGGTAGCTTTCCATATATACGAACCCCACGGAAACAGATTCCATGCATTCAGGTCCTCTACCAATATTATTAGCTCCCGAGGAATAGGTTGTCTAGCCTCTCTGCCTAAAAAGACGGCATACACAAGTAGTAGAAGGCATACTCGGACAACATCGACGTCATCCATCTGAGTGAAACCAGCTTTCTTATTAAACAATTTCTTCAGGTCGTCGACGTGTAGGTTCGGCTTCTCCATTGACTCATCCGGAAAAACCCGGGATAACCATGATGGGCGGGCGATATGACGAGTGTACCGACCTACATCATCGTGTCCGAATCGTAGACCAGTGATTAAGCAGAACTCTTTCCGCCCAAAACAAGTATACGCTGGTGGAAAATGAAACCATATCTCTTCCTCACCACGTTGTATACTGTCGGGTAGATTTGATGTCATGGTCTGAAGCCACAAATGGGTCAAATTAGCATCTCCACCCGGATGCTGTACTCTCAGCCATGGCCCGAAGCAGGTTTCCTCAAACAATTGTCTTTGTGCAGGTGAAAGCTTCGAAGCAATTGTAGTGGCTAGGCTAACTTTATTCCTTAATGTCAATGAAGCCGAAAAAAATTTCTACAAAAACAATAAACATACCAAGTTAGATATACAAAAAACTACACTGTGAAGATATACCAAAAACAATAAACATAAAAAGTAGTAGTTTATTCTTGAAACTAAAATTTGCAACACTGTTTTGTCTTTTGGTTGAAATGAAAATCGCAACGAGAGAAATGAAAATCGCAACGAGAGAATCGCAACGCGAAATGAAAATCGCAACGCGAAATGAAAATCGCAATGCGATTTTGGTTTCGCGTTGCGATTCTCTCGTTGCGATTTTCATTTCGCGTTGCGATTCTCTCGTTGCGATTTTCATTTTTCTCGTTGCAGATAGTCATTTTCACGTTGCGATTTTCATTTATCTCGTTGCGACTCTTCTGCAAATTGAAACTTGAATGGATTGCATTATTTCAACCAAAAGACAGAACAAAGACAAAGACAAATACTAACTTGAAAATCGCAACGAGAGAATAGCAACGCGAAATGAAAATCGCAACGAGAGAATCGTAACGCGAAATGAAATCTAAGTGAAATGGTTAATCTATTATTGAAATGACCAGTAAACTTATCATCAGTTTCAATATGAAAAACCTACAATAATGCAAAAATTTCAAAATAAAAATAATTAAAAAAACTAACCCTCGGAGGTTGATTTTCCATTTCTGAATATTGTGAGGGATTTCTGACCGTGAATGGTTGTGAGGGATTTCGCCGGAGATGGGGACGGAAATCTTCGGAGATGGGGACGGATTTCGCCGTAGAGAGTGAGAGATGGAGATGGGACTGAGTTGTGATTTTAGGTTTTAGGTTATGAGTTGCGATTACGGGATTTTGTCTTAATATTTGTTTTTGTAATTTGAAAATAAAATACGCGTAGCGATTACAATGGCGCTTTAAAGATCGCGTTGCGATTTACGGATACGCGTTGCGATTTTACGTATTGTCGTTGCGATTTACGGATACGCGTTGCGATATACGGATACGCATTGCGATTTACGGATACGCGTTGCGATTTACGGATACACGTTGCGATTTACGGATACGCGTTGCGATTTATGTGTTCGCGTTGCGATTTTCATATTCGCGTTGCGATTCTGGAAAATCGCAATGCGAATTTGTACTATCGCATTGCGATTGTCAAGAATCGCGTTGCGATTTTGGAAACTGATTTACGATTCTGGGGATCGCGTTGCGATTTTTATTTCGCGTTGCGATTTTGTTGGTCATTTTGGCAAATCCAAAAAAAGTTGGTTAAAATCGTATATTATAAGGCATTTTTGGTCACTGAGGCGATTTTCTCTTTTATTTATTGTTTTCCCGCCCAAAAAAAACACGAAAAGGCAGGGCCTAAACGAAGCCGTTTTGTGATTTAGATCAGCAAGCAACGTTTGTTCCAACTTGAAACTCGTGTGTACATTTTCTCCCCCCCTTTTGCTCTTCGTGTCTGTCTATGCAATCAAATTGTTGATTCTATTGTTTCACAGTTAATTCTTCATCAATGGCGGCAGGAGTCCCATTCCCGAACTACTACACCAAAACCCAACGCATCGTCTTCTTAATAGACTTAAACCCACTTCTCCTTCTCCAGGATCCAAATCCTTACCTCAAATCCCTCATTTCTTCCTCCAAAAACACTCCTCTCTTTCCCTCCTCTTTCCTCTTCTCTCTTCTCTTTCAAACCCTTCTTTTCCTCTCTCTCCCCTCTCCTTTCCTCCTCTAAGCTCCCGTTTCCTTCCCTTTCTCTCTCATTCAACCGCCCGGATTCCACCTTCGACTCCCTCATCGATTTCCTCACTTCTATCCCCACCACAATTGACGGAGCTTCCTTTCCTTTGTGCCCTTCTCGGGCTTCGAATATCGCCGCCTCCTTGCGCCAGCCCGTTCATGACTACGTCTGGGACCCGCTGATCGCCGATCCGGTGGCCGGTGCGCTTTCTGAATCTGATGAGTTCCTTTTGATTAGGTCTAATTTGGTGGTTCTGTTGTCTCTGGTTTATAGGGAGTTGAATTGGCTACGTGAATTCTTCGATGTGGGAATAGGTAATGAATGTTTGAATGATTTGGGTGGTTTTGTCAAAGAGTTTTGTGGGGTTTGGTTTTTTGGAGAGTGAGATTAGGAGTTTAGGGTGGGGATTTCTTTCTTCGGATTCTATTGTTTTGGGTTCTGCTGTTGTTCCTTTTGGTTTGATTTATCCTAATATTGCTTTTTCGTCAAGCATTTTTCATGCCGACGCATCTGGTAGAAGGAATGCGCAATTAAGTCTTGAGATATTAGATGCCAATGGGAAGCCATTAGAATGTAAGTGCTGTGAGCTTGAGTTTGTTGATTTCGAAAACTGTTCGTGTAATCAACAATCGAGAGCTGATAACCATAGGAATAGCTCCTTGTTGGATCAGTGGTTGGATGGAGTAACGAAAGTACATGTTAGAGCGCTGAGGAGGTATGTTGAGTGTGTGAAATTAGAGGGTCGCTTATTGAATCCGATCATCGTTTGTGAATCCTTGAGAAAATCTAGGAAAGTTATAAAAAATGATTTGGGTGAGTTTTATGCTGATAGAGTTCTTCAAATACTTGCAAGGGATATGGGTGAATCATTGGTGAGAAAACCTGTTGTGATTTGGCAAATCTTCTTGAGTTTTCTTTATAGGGAAGGTTACTGGGCATTGGTATCTCTTTCAGATGGTGATTCCAGTTTACATGGCGGAATCCTTAAGCCATTCACTGTTTTTTCAGCTATGCTTTATATAATTGGCGATGAGTTCTGCCCCTACAAGAAGTTTGTAGAATATGGTAAGGTGGATTCAGCTGCATATGTTGCAAAAGGAGATGATAAAACTTGCAAGCTTCATGTTGATTCAAACAATGCTATCGGGTTTTCCGATTCTCAATTTCAGTCCTCACTTTCCCACAAGTTTTCTGCAAAAAGGAAGAAGGACAAAAAGAAGTTGCCCTTGCCTGATGTCCTTACTTGGAGCGCCTTCTGTGAAGCAGCAGCTGAACATTTGGAAATGGATTTAGAAGCAAGTTACTTTTTTAGGAACCGTAACTCGAAGTTATTAAAATTTCTGAAATGCTGGATGAAGCAGGTTCAAAAACGTAGTCCGATGAGCTTTGAGATACCAGATACTGCCATGCCAGATCGGGATGCTACAGAAGGAACCAATCATAGACCAATTGAGATGCCTCAAGATAGTGAACAAATGGCATCTTATTCCGCGTCGTCTGGAGAAGGTTTCTCAAGAGAGTTAGATGAAGCTGGTAATGATTTTTGTTCAGGATCTTCGGAAAATTTCTTCAGTAGTCTCCCTAATAAAATTAAACAAGGGCTAGAATCTGGAGAAGTGGAATTAGGGTCATTTGCAGAACGGCTTGTACGTTCATCTATTTATTGGTTGTGTCAAAAACATGAGACGACAGTGGTTTCTGAAAGTCAAAGTCAAACCTCTCTGGTGAACACTAGTGATGCTTGTGCTAGCAAAGTTGTTGTTGAACTAATTGGACTTCTATTGAGGGAGCCTAAGGACTTGGCTGCTATGCACAAAAGGAAGGATCCATCTTCTCAGGCATTGGATTCAAGGTCTACTGGATCTGCTTCAGCTAGTGTAGTTAGAGAGTATCCTTTTTTACTCCCCCTCATATCCATAAAATTCACTATTTATGTGTTTCACTTACGACAGTTTCCTTTTTCTTTGATTCAATGCTTGACAATGATTCTTTTTTTGCTCTTAGAAAGTGAGCAATTGGGTCTAAGCTCCACACATTTCCTTAATAAGAACTAAGAAATGAATTGCAGATTTTCTTCCGAATGGAGATTCTTCAGTCGGAACTTGGTGCAATTCTCCAGGAACCTATGAAGCAGAAATTTGTAAAACAAATTTGCTCGCTATTGGAGTCTATTCAGTGCCATCTTGAGGGCGGTTTTTTCGGCGATTGGAGGCTTGACAAGTATGTGGAGAAAATCATAAAGAGCAGGTACATATCACATTGCTCCGACCCTTCATTTTTCGTTTTAGTACTCGTGTCTCTCACCAGTGTCCAGGCAGTACATATTTGGACAGGATTAAGGGAAAACCCTGATGCTAAACAAATTATTAGTTTCTAGAGAAGTTCTATGTATTACTGTTAAGTAAATAAATTTTGGAACAATTCATTTCAGGTATTACCTCTCGATTGGAGATGTTGTCAATCGAATCTATATGAAGATGGATCTGTTGCTGTTTGATGATGAGGATGAATTGCCTAATCATGTACTAAACAGCGAGGACAGTAACCGATCCTGGAAAGAGAAACCTGAGGAAGATGTACATTCCAGAAGTCATGAACCAGTTTCAATAGAAGAGGAGTGCCCCCAACTGCAGAAACACGATAACAAAAGAAGTCCCCTAGTAATGAGGACCGAGGAGCATGAACTGAAACTGATTCAGGCTGAGGAGAGGAGGGAGAGGGCACGACGCTTCTCATCTTTCACGAGTTGGAAGCCAGATTTGCAGAGAGTTTGGGCTCCAAAGCAGCTGAATGCAATGAAACGCAAGTCCGATAATCTTCGAAAACTATCAAAAAGGAAAAAATGTTGCAAGGCAAGCTATGACACGGTATGTGAGACTCCAATGACAGAAAAGAAGCGGTCAAGCCCCTACAAGAACGCCATTGATGATGAAGAAGATCATAGAGATAGCAGACCTCACTCTGACGGTCCTGTCTCAAAGGTGTTATTCCAAGATGAAATGTAATAAGAATTATGGTTTCCTTCCAGCAGCTTACATAATACGGCGAAGGATGCTGAGCCCCTCGAAAGGAAGCCACTTGCTGCCATGAATACACTATTTATTTAACATTGCATAATTTAACCAGACCGGTTTAATCTTAATCACTCTCTGATTGTTTGTGAAGTAGTTATATAACTTTTATTGATTGTCATTAACTGTTCATATGGTTAATTTCATGTTAACTTACAGCCTTAAACGTTAAATAAGGTGTCTATTCCCCCCCTCCCCCACTCCAGAAGAGGAAAAAGAGTTCCATTTTATATATTTTCATAGGCCCAAACTTCTCTCATTTTGTGTAGTTAAAGCTAGCATTTGAAAAGCCAACATTTGCTAATGAGAGCCATCACTCGTTGCCGACATTTCTCATCTGCCAAGCAACTAAAAGACTTAGTTTCATCATCATCAACCCCAAAACCTGAATTTCTTCAGCCCATTCTCAGCGAAGATTTATGCGGTGAAATATTGAACCAATACCCAGATATCAGAACATTGAAAAAACTCCATTCCAAGATATTCAGTGATCGGCATCTTCGTTTCAACCCATCTATAGCCATCAAATTGATGAGTGCCTATGCAGCTTGCGGAGATTCAGCAGTTGCACGCCACATATTCGATGAAATGACCGAAAAGAACATTGTTTTCTTTAACGTCATGATAAGAAGCTATGTAGGCAACGGTTGCTATCACGATGCTCTTCTTATGTTCAAAGAAGTATCTAGCCATGGTTTGCGCCCTGATCACTATACTTACCCTTGTGTCTTAAAGGCATGTTCTAGGTCAGATAATTTGCGGGTGGGTTTGCAAATCCATAGTGACGTGGTTAAAGTTGGTCTTGACTTGAATCTTTTTATAGGGAATGGGCTGATTGCTATGTATTCCAAGTGTAGATGTTTGGTCCAAGCGCGGTGAGCTTTTGATGTGATGCCGATTAGAGATGTTGTTTCTTGGAATTCAATGGTTTCTGGAAGAATGAATGCTTTGATCAAGCATTGGATGTTTGTAGGGAAATGAAGTTATTGAGGATAAAACCCGATGCTGGGACTATGTCCAGCCTATTACCAGCAGTGACCAACACTTCCTTGTTAAAGAAATATTTTTGAAGTTGGCTCGAAAAAGCGTTGTTTCTTGGAATGTGATGATTTCGATTTTTGTGAACAATTCATTGTCAAGTGAAGCCGTTGATTTGTATTCACAGATGGAGGCATATGGTATTGAACCGGATTCTTTTACCATTGCTAGTATCCTTCCTGCTTGTGGTGATCTTTCGGCTATTTTTCTTGGTAGACGAATTCATGAATATATCAATAGGAAGAAACTCCTTCCGAATTTGGCACTGGAGAATGCACTAATTGACATGTATGCAAAGTGTGGATGCTTAAAAGAAGTGAAGGCGGTGTTCGATCAGATGAAGTTTCGGGATATTGTGTCATGGACTTCTATGATCTCAGCTTATGGGATGAGTGGCCAAGGTGACAAAGCTATGTCCCTTTTCTCTAAAATGCAAAACTCGGGTCTGACTCCGGATTCTATTGCATTCGTGTCGGTTCTTTCGGCTTGTAGCCATGCAGGGTTACTGGACCAAGGTTGGCATTTCTTTAACTTGATGACAGACCAACGTAAAATTCGTCCAAGGGTAGAGCATTTTGCTTGTATGGTTGATTTATTTGGACGTTCCGGGCAAGTAGAAGAAGCCTATAATTTCATCAGAAAGATGCCAATTGAACCTACTGACAGGATATGGGGAACTTTGTTGGGTGCCTGTTGGATGCATTCTAACATGAATATCGGACTCCTTGCTGCTGATCATCTTTTCCGATTAGCACCCGAGCCTTCCGGATATTATGTCTTGTTATCAAACATATATGCGAAGGCTGGTAGATGGGAAGATGTTACAACTGTTAGATCAATCATGAAGAGCAAAGGGATCAAGAAAATGGCTGGTGCTAGCAATACCGAGATCGACAATCAGGTTTATACTTTTCTTGCCAGTGATCAGTCACATCCACAGTCGAGGGAAATCTACAAGAAGTTAGATTTTCTGGTGGGGAAAATGAAAGAGTCTGGTTATGTCCCGGAAACTCAGTCCGCACTTCATGATGTTGAAGAGGAAGATAAGGAAGGCCATCTGGCTGTTCACAGTGAGAAGTTGGCTATTGTCTTAGCCATTCTAAATACGAAACCCGGGACACCTATTCGAATCACCAAGAATCTCCGTATCTGCGGCAATTGCCATGTCGCTGCTAAGCTCATTTCGCAAATTACCAAACGCGAGATCATAGTCAGGGATACGTATCGGTTTCACCATTTCCAGTACGGTGTTTGCTCGTGTGGAGATTACTGGTGAATCGATTTCGGAAAACTGCTCCCGAATTCACATTATACCGGAATATATGCAACAGAAAGACCAGCTGTCTATCATATAATCGGATTCGGCAGGGCGTGGTTGTATGTCGGTCTCGATACTACCAAATGCCGGTGCAATGATCGTACCGGGAAGTCTTCAGACCATTTTGATCATCTTATAAGTGACCAGGCACAATGTCTGTTTGTCTGGAGAGGTAAGGTGGTATCATATATTGCTTCATTTAGCTTACAAAAGCTGGTCATGGTTTATGCTTAGTTATTCACTGGTATTGTTACCTTGATACATGTGCTTGTAAGTTTCTTCTGTTTGATTAAAAAAATAACATTTTTGGAGCATATCAAGAGTTATGTTAAAGAAATTAAAGTTGAGTGAAGAAATTATTTTATGAAAAAAAAATCCCTTTAAAGAAATTATTCTAGGAAATACGTTGATGGTGTAACCTTACTGTGATCCGGAGGAAATCAGCGGTTGCAAAAACCATTCGCCCGGTTGGATGCTGAGCGGCTATAAGAACGACACGTGTCTCGAAATCCCCAATGAGGAAGTCCAACGTGGCAAGCGCCAAATTTCGCCGATCCGGTGGATATGATGACGTGGATGAATAATAATAAATGCAGAAATTAAGGATTTGATTGGTTGTCCGTTGCCCCTTACTTGCGTCCACTCATCGCCTCCTCACACTTTCCCATATTTTGAGTTTCCCTTTCCTTTCAATTACCAAAATACCCACCCCCTTCCTTACTTAGCTATTATGTTTGTTTTGTTTTGTTTTGTTTTGTTTTTGTTCATATCTAAGGTATGATGTTATACACCACGTGACTTCCAAAATACAAAATATAAATTTGTCGATTGATTTTTATTTTAATATATCTTAAAACATTTCAATAAGATATTAAGAATTTCAGTTGTAAATTATTCTAGTGAAATATGTTTATTGCCTTATGAAATAGTATTTGTGATCATAATTTAATAATTACTTTTAATTGTGATATTAATAAGTCTGATTAAATTTAATAATTAATTCCTTATATTTTAAAATCAATAATTTTTTTATTAAATTGTTAAATCCCATATTATTGTAAAAATTATTTGAATACTATTTGACTAAATAAAATTAAAATGATTGTTTTCTCATAATATCACCTTAATAAAATAAACTTTTTTTAATTCTCATATTTGCGGTTACAATAACTTGCATCAATGTTACCGAGAGTTGATACAAGTAGGTAGAATTTAAGAATTTAAATTTATAAAGTTAAATTCGAATTTTATTATTATCATTTTTAATGAATAATCTTTAAATTTTTATGTAAATATTAATTAATTCTTATATATGGCTTGTCTTAAATTGGAGGAATCACCTCCGACTTAAAATTCTTTTTACTAAAAAAATAATTTACACGAATCGAACACCATTGGGGATTAGCTTTGACTGTTAGCATGAAGCAGGGTGTTTTAAACAAGTCCACAGATTCTAAAGGGCACGCCAACAAATAATTGAGGTCTCAGAGCGTTAACCGACCCACGACTCCATAAAATTGCAGCCCCATCTCGTCCTTCGTTTTCTTCTCGCCGTGTCCCTATTCTGGGAACTTTGTTTTAAGGTTCTAAGCGTCCCATAATCAAAGTTTAGCTTCTCGCAGCTGTGTTTCTTCTTCTTTCCATGTCGGTAGGCTTATCCACCGCCTTAGCTCCTAAACCCTTCCGTCCACTCGCATCCTCACACCACGCGCCGAAGCCAACCCCAATTCTCCACCCTTCACTAAAGCCAACATGCGGAGCTCGAAGGAAGAGGAGCTTCACCGTTCGATTTGTGGCCGAGAAAGAAGAACAGAAGCAGACTGCGCCTAATGTTCCCCAGATCATAGAACAAGGATCCGATGATGTCATCGACCGTCAGATCTTGATACCGGCGCGTGTGACTGAGAAGTTAGCCAGGAAGAGATCCGAGAGGTTTACTTACCTCGTCGCTGCCGTTATGTCCAGTTTTGGGATCACTTCCATGTCTGTCATGGCCGTTTATTACAGGTTTTGGTGGCAAATGGAGGTTCGTTTCATCGTTTGTTCCCCTCTTTTCACCATTCTTTTTCAAAATTTATCTCCGTTCTGACAGTACGAACAATATCTGAAATTGGGAATTTTTTTTTTTCTAAAAGGGAGGAGAAGTGCCTCTTTCTGAAATGTTTGGTACATTTACTTTATCAGTCGGTGCCGCTGTAAGTTCGATTCCGTTCATTGACGTATATTTGATTGCGTGTTTGAATGTTAATTCGAGTGTTGAATCGGAAACTGGGTATTGTTTTATTTTCAGGTGGGCATGGAGTTCTGGGCTAGATGGGCTCACCGAGCTCTCTGGCATGCTTCATTGTGGCACATGCACGAGGTATTTTACGAAATTTTAATTTCTCATGTAATTTTGATATATCATATTGAAACTTGTTTGTGAATCTTGTGTTCGTCGCCGGTTATAATTATGCAGTCTCACCATCGACCGAGAGAAGGAGCGTTCGAGCTAAACGACGTGTTCGCCGTAATCAACGCAGTCCCGGCAATCGCACTTCTGTCTTATGGTTTCTTCAACAAAGGCCTTGTTCCTGGTCTATGTTTCGGTGCTGTAAGTTTCTAGCCTCCTTAATTATATAGTCTTGTTTTTTTGTACTGATTTCGACGAATTCGATGAGCAGGGGCTCGGCATTACAGTATTCGGAATGGCGTACATGTTCGTGCACGACGGTCTCGTCCACAAGAGGTTCCCCGTAGGGCCGATCGCCAACGTGCCTTACTTCAGGAAGGTTGCTGCGGCTCACCAGGTTAATAATATAAACTGCAGTTCTTGCACATTTGGTGTTTATCTTCTTCTCTAACTGTGTCCAATGGCCTTGGTTTGTTTTTTCAGCTCCACCATTCAGAAAAATTCAACGGTGTCCCCTATGGGTTGTTTCTGGGGCCTAAGGTGATTTATTGCCTTTCAACAACTTTTTTTTTTTTAAATTTAACTATCGATTAATTCGGATCAGATATTGTAGATGTTCATTTATGGGGATTCTCGAACTTAATTAGTTTCATTTACAATGTCCAAATTCAAACTCTCGATCTTAATTTGTTTTATTTACGATGTCTGGATTCAAACTTCAACCTTCTAGTTGTTAGTAATATTTTGTTTGATATGAACTGGTGTGTGAATGCAAATGCAGGAACTAGAGGAGGTGGGAGGACTTGAAGAACTGGAGAAAGAGATCAATAGGAGAATCAAATCAAGCAAAGCGTCGTGATTATATTAAATGTATAATCATTTAGAGTTTATAGTCGTTTGAAAATTAATATTTGTTTTTGGTAATTTAATATTTTTAAGAATTAGTATAATCATTTTTCATTTCATTAGTCACTTAGAAATTAAATTAGTTGAAACTTATTTTTTTAGGAATTTAATTGTTTTAAATATGCTTAAAAATTTATAATAAAAACTACTTGATGGGTTTTTTAAAAAAAAAAATTATATATAGAAAATGATAAGCTCTTCATCACTTAATAAAGAATGTATTAATTTATTTTGGTATATTTTTTTTCCTTCTAAATTTCATTAGAAACTTCAAATCGAAAAATTAATTCAAAGTTAGATTTTTTTAATATTTCTATTTTGATAAATTAAATTTTGTTTTGATATAACTTCACTTTTTATTAAAATGTCTAGATAATAATGCTTTATGTAAAATTAAAATTGACTTTAATTTAGATCGATTTACTTCAAGTTTTGAATCAAGGGTAAATTATTATATTCGACTCTATATAAGATCTTAGATTAAATAAATTAATTTGAATAACGGGGCTCAGATCAAATTTACTAGGTATAGAAAGACATGTATTCATTTTGAGAGATTGACAGATTGGTGGGATCATACATTTCATTTGAGGCAGATAAACGGAATCTGAGGATCTCCGTCGCGTCTCCACCTCCGTTCTACTCTCCTCTCGGTTCTCTGCTCATTTCCTTTTCAATCATGTGCGAAGGCTCAATGAATTGGAGAAATCTCTTTGGGTGCACTGTGGGTCAATGATTGGAATACTTTCCACTTAGGGTTCATGATGGCGCGACTGTTGTTCAACCTCCTCCAGAGGTTCTGGAATATGGAATTTCCGAATGAAAACTCTCGCTCGTGGGTCAATTTCTTGGCGCAGATCCCAGATTTGCAGCTATGCAACGAATTGTGGAAAACCTATGGAAAACCTATGGAAGAAAGCCTTAGCTGGAAAAAACTTAAGGTAAGCTATGTTGGCAACAATCTCTATGTTTTCTCATTTTCTTCTGAATCAGATAGGGACTGGGTACTAGAAAACGGGCCTTGGCATATCCTTAACAAGCCCTTGTTTCTCAGGCCCGTTTTGGTTAATCTCTACAATGTTCACCTAGAATTATTTTCCCGTGCTGGCTTAAGTTACATTGCAAGTACCATTGGTATTCCTATCTCCATGGACTCTGTAACAACTGCTAAGTCTCACCTTGAATATGCTAAAGTTTGCATAGAAATAGGGGTGACTGACGATATACCTAAATTCATCGATATAGTCCTAAATAATGGTAAAACATTTTCAGTTGTAGTCGAGATACCCTGGTTGCCACCTCGATATAGGTCCTGTAACATTTTTGGGCATTCTGATAAAGCTTGTAAGGAACTAAAAAACCAAGCTCCTGTAAAGACTCAAACTTGGAGGAAAAAGGGGAAGTACCTCCAAAAGTTGCTGAGGTTGAGTCTTCTGTTGGGGATATCGAACTTCTACAAGAAAATTTTTTCCTCTTCAACAGGACTCCATGGAAAAAAAAACAACAATGATGAAGTCTCTGAAACAATCAGTAAAGAGGCTGAAGTGGAATCAAACTCTTGCAGTGGAGATACCATCTTGTTCTGATCCCAATGCTCCTCACATTATTGAAAAAGATGACAACTCTCTGGCTGTTAATAAGAAAGGAAGGGGTAAGCCGACTAAGGACAAACATAATGCTTCTTTAGCTGCTTCTTCCAACCGGTTTGAAGTTCTAAGTTTGGTTGATTACTCAACCTCTGCACCAGTAGGCCTTAAACGAAAGCCTTGAAAGTGTTCTCTAAGTGTAGCCACTCTAGTAAATGATCTAAAATCTAAGAAAAAAGATAAATTATAAGTGGCTAAGTCTAATGTGGTTGGTGGCAAAGAGGTTGCCATTGACAATCATCCTTAATGATTATTGCTTTTTGGAATGTTAGAGGACTAAATTATCCTCTAAAACAAGAAAGAGTTCTTAAAAGAGCTATCCAAAATAAAATTGAAATCCTCTGTTTGTTGGAAACTAGAGTAAAAGCTGAAAAGGCTGAAATTATTCTGAAAACCCAATTTAAAAGTTAGACTGCTACTACTAATTATAATTATGCTGCGAATGGCAGAATATGGCTTCTCTGGAAAACTGGTATGGATTTTTCTGTTATTCAATCTTTTGCTCAGTGTATTTCTATAAAGGGGTTACATCTTAGGGCCTCTCTTATTATATCTGCTGTGTATGGGAGCAATGAAGGTGTTATGAGAAGATTACTTTGGCAACAGTTTTGAGATCTGGATTCAAGTTTTGGTCAATTTCCCTGGATTCTTGGAGGTGATTTCAATGTCACTCTCAATCCTATTGAGAGCTCAGACTACATTCTTCTAGGCACTATAGTTTCTTATGATATGAGAGACTTTCAAAATGTTCTTTCTGACATTAACCTCATTGATCATCCATTTTTTGGTCCATCCTTCACTTGGAGCAATAAGCAACAAAATTCTTTCCTTGCTAGAAAGCTAGACAGAGTCCTAGTTAATTTAATCTGGATGAGCAACTTTAAGACTTCCCATGTAGAATTTCTTGCTCCTGGTATCTCGGATCACTGCTTGTCTTTGGTCTGGCCCTCTAAAGAAGTTCAAACAAATAGACCAAATCCATTTAAGTTTTTCAACTTCTGGGCTCAACACCCCAACTTTTTGGATATTGTTCAGCAATCTTGGATCACTCTTGCTCAAGGAAACCAAATGCAATATCTTTTTTCTAAGTTAAAGCGACTGAAAATCAAGCTTAGAGAACTCAATCAGTCCAGCTTTAGTGATATAACTGCAAGGGTCCTCCAAAAGAAATCTGAATTGGAACATCAACAGCTTAAAACCCTTAGGGGTGAAGATTCTATTGATAAAGAAATTCTTCTGCAAATTGAACTTAAAAGCCTTGAGGCTGCTGAAATCCTGCTCCTTAAGCAAAAAACTAAGATTCAATGGCTAAAAGAGGGAGAAAAATGTTCCAAACTCTTTAATTATGCTCTTACTCTAAAGAACAAAAGAGATACTATTCGCATCCTAGTTGATGACTAAGGTAATCGACTAGAAACTTTTGATTTAATGTCAACAGAGGTGATAAGGTACTTTACTAATTTGATTGACACCATTGATCATGAGGTAAAATCTATAGATCATTCCTTGCTGAAAGACATCTCGCAGTATACTGTGACTAATGAAAATGCCCAAGATCTTGTAAAGAAAATCACAAATGAAGAAATTAGGGTTGTTTTCTTCTGCCAAGGAAATGATAAGTCTCCTGGCCCTGATGGCTTTACTCCTTACTTCTTCAAAAAAGCTTGGCATATCATAGGAGAAGATGTCACTGCTGCTGTAAAGCAATTCTTCTCTGATTCTTTTTTTCTTCTAGCTTTTAATGCTACTACCATAGCTTTGGTGCCAAAGATCCCTAATCCAAGCAAAGTTAAGGATTTCAGACCTATCTCATGTTGTTCTGTCTTCTATAAAGCCATATCCAAAATTCTGGTTAGTAGACTGCAAAAACTCATTCCTGATTTAGTTTCACTAAACCAAACTGCTTTTGTTAAAGGAAGAAGCATTGTAAACAATACTCTACTTGCCCAAGAACTAGTTAGAGGTTACAACAAGAAGAATATCTCTCTAAGGTGATCCCTAAAAATTGATCTTCACAAAGCTTTTAATACTCTTAATTGGGATTTCATCTCTGCCATTTTGAAAGCTATTGGTCTCCCAAGTACCTTCATTAACTGGATTGAACTCTGCTTTTCTACATCAAGGTATTCTATCTCCTTCAATGGGAGCTTAATTGGTTTTTTTAAGGGAGCTAAAGGAATTAGACAAGGTGATCCCCTTTCCCCATTATTGTTTGTTCTTTCAATGAATGTCCTCTCAAGACTTCTCAATTTATCAGCTGCTAGAGGCATTTTTGGTTATCACCCCAAATGTAAATGAATAGGCCTTACTCACATCTCTTTTGCTGACGATCTTTTAATTTTTTGCAAATATACTTCTTAATTGATTATTGGGGTCACTACTGTCTTAGATCTCTTTTATGAGATGTCTGACCTCAAACTTAATGCCTATAAATATGATTTATATGCTACTGGAATGCACTCTTCAATTTTGGAGGACATTCAATCGATCACTGATTTTAAAAATGGTAGTCTTCCTGTCATGTATTTAGGAATCCCACTGGTATCTAGAAAAATCACTAAAAAAGATTGTGGTGCTCTACGTGATAATATTAGAGTAAGGTTGAATCATAAGTATGTTAAAACTCTAAGCTATGCTGGTAGACTTGATCTAATTAAAGCAGTACTGTTTAGTATCTCAAAATACTGGTGCAGACAGATTTTTTTGCCTCATTTGGTTTTAAACAAGATTGAGCAGCTATGCTCACGTTTCTTTTGGAAAGGAGCTGACAAATATGCATTTGGTGCTAGAGTGAGCTGGCAGAATGCATGTCTCTTGAAATCAGAAGGTGGGCTAGGTATTAAAGACTTGAAGACCTGAAACAAAGCTTGTATGATCTACCTAATTAAAAACATTCTAGCAGGTGAATGTTCTCTTTGGGTAGCTTGGATTAACTACTATGTTCTCAAAAACAGTGATTTCTGGAATGTTGACATTCGTTCCTCTTATAGCTGGAGCTTAAGGCGCATTTTTAAAGTTAGATATGTGGCCTACCCCATTCTAACTGCTGGAGCTGTAAAAGTGAATGATATATGGGATGCTCTACGAGATAGAAAACCTCATGTCCCATGGCAGAAAATTATCTGGTTCCCTCTTCATATCCCCTAGAATAGTTTGATTACTTGGATGGCACTGCTTGATAGACTCCCTACAAAAGATAGACTCCACCAAATGAGACTTATCATTGACTGTAAATGCATATGCTGCGATGATCCGTGTGAAACAAGGGAACATCTATTCATCCAATGCCCTGTGGCTGATCAATTATGGAA